GGGCTTAGATGGACATAGAGTATATAGAGATAATATAGAGATAGATAATCTTAAAGTCCATAAAATCACAAATAAAACTCAGATAAAAATAAGTGCATACCCAGTGACCATTATGCCAACACCCACACAATTTTACATACAACAGTGGGCCACATGTATTTTGAATATATACACACTAGTATCTTTGCATATTTCATAATGGCTAAAACAAACTGTGTAACAGTATCTCAATGTAGCCACTGAAAGAATGTTTACATATTTCTCATGTGTGTTCGATCCTAAAGAGCTGCAACAGCACTTACAGAATTTCATAAATAAGTCTCTGGTGAATGCAGACTAAACATACTTGATATACAGTACATTCATGCACGTATGTAAGTCCTGACATCCCTCCAGCAGTCAGCAAATATCAGTGAATTCTAATATCTATAATAATCATACAAGTGAATGAGCTTTAAAGACAAATTAGTGAGATTTACTGAACCCAGCTGCATTTAGGTAGATTTGACAGTATCCATTACTGGCAATACAACAACATTAATGCTATGACACTAGATGATGTTGCTCAGTATATATATAGTAACATAGTTACAAAGCTGCTGAGGTTGAATAAGGATACAGGTCCTTCTAGTTCAGTGTGTGTGTGTACTGAATGTATGAGTCCTTAATGTACATACCCCTGTACACTGATGTAACGCTCGAGCCGAGGAGGTTTAGGTAGGATCGCAGCTGCGGAAATTGGCTAGAACCTGTGCGTGTGAATTGGCTCAGATCGAGGGTTCCCGTTTACACTCTGTATGGTAGGGAGTGATCTTGTAACCCTCTAGCACATCATACGCCAATCACAGTATAGAATGGGGGGTTGGAGTTCTCCTATAGGTATGCACAGCAGTACCCTTATACAGATATACGGTAAGCCAGCAGTCTCAAGTTAGTATGAATTGTATGAGTAGTTGCAGTCACATTAACCCCACACTCTCCACAGAGAAAACTGAGATATGTTGCATGAGAAGGGCAGCAGTACTATTACTATACAGTTTTGGAAATGGAGAAGCAGTTCACTGAAATGACGTTACACCAATTGCACAAGTGAGTATATGCTGACACTCTCTATGGAGTAGCTCTTAGGGCAAGGTACTTGCGATTTTAAGGGAGGTTCTATAGTCCATTAGCCTTTCCAGGGAAGCTACTGGTGGAGTCATGGCAGTTCCAGAGAGAGAGCTGTCCCATATGAAGTCTTAGGAGAGCAGGGGTAATCCCTGTGAGGCACCCCACGGTACTGGAGAATGGGTGGCAGAGGAGAGCGGCAGGCTGGCGATAACGCTGCTGGTTCGTGTGTCCCACTATTAGGAGAGTTGCACTGGCTCGACGGTCGCAACACTAGAACGCCGAGCCATTGCAACTCGCGTCATTATGAGGAGGAGGATCCCAGAGGGGGAGGAGCCGAGCGCGCCGTGCGCCACCTCGGTCTCCTCGTGACGTCACGCCGCTGGTTGAAGAGGCCGGCCCGCGGCCCCAAGCGCCGGACATGGGATACCCTATGACAACTGAGTGGCCAGATTATTATGACCACGTGATTTTTGTAGGCAAATTAGCTATAATTAGCTATAATTTCGCGCTGAAGTTGCTAGAGGGCCAGACCATTATAAATAGGGAAACAGGTTATTTACCATGACAGTAGAAGTGATTTTTTTCTGAAGATATGGGTAAACAATGTGATTTAACAGCCTTTGAACGTGGGATGATTGTTGGCGCTCGGAGCCATGGAGCGAGTATCAGCAAAACAGCAGAATTTGTTAAATGTTCAAGAGCAGCTGTTGTTAAAGTGTTTAAAAACTGGACTGTCAGCCGAAAATCTGGGTCTGAACGTGCGAATTGTGGCCGTCAGCGACTAGTAAATGTTAGGGCAGAATGGAGAGTGGCATGACTGGTACAAGACAACAGAAGGGCAACAGTGCAGTGTCAGATTCCTCGCATCACCTTTCAACATCTCGTGGAGTCACAAGGAGGCCCAACCAAGTACTCTCGTGGAGTTATCTCGTGGCCCAACGAAGTACTGATGGGGTGGTCATAATAATCTGGCCACTCAGTGTATATTGTATTCACTGAGAAAATCATCTCAATGTTCTTTGAATGTGTCTATACTCTCTGCTGACACAACTACCTCGGGAAGGGAGTTTCACAATGTTGCTGCTCTAACAGAACAGAATCCCCTTTGCAGTTTGAGAGTAAACCTCTTTTCCTACACAATGTATTACTGATTCTACTGGCAACATTAAAAATTGTTGTATATTGCACTCATATACCCTCTTAATCACACCTTCTCCACAGTGAATAAGTGCAATTGCTGTAATCTTTCCTTATAGCTTGGGTACTCTAGCCCTCTTATTAATTTAATGTGCCTTCTCTGAACTCTCTCAAGATCAAGAACATCCTGTCTGTGGATCGGTAAACCAAAACTGTACTGCACACTCAAAGTGAGGCTGAACCAGAGTTTTGTAAAAATGTATGGATTTGTCTCTGGAGTAAACACCATTTTATGCATGATAGTAGTCTGCTAGCTTTGTAAGCTGGCATTACATGATGTACTGTAAGCTGTAGCCTGGCATTACATGCTATTGCCAAGTCTGTGGTCTACTAGGACCCCCAAAACTTTTTTCATCACCAATTTTCCTGGAGGATCCCCCCCTAATGAGTAGCTTGCATGCATATGTTTAACATGTAAAATGCATGACTACATTTATTAATAGTACTGCCTTGTAGATGTCTACTTTATCAAGGTCTTCCTGTAACAGTGCTATGTCCTGTGGTGAGTTTATTACCCTGCATATTTTGTTATGATCAGCACTACTAAACGTGAACTATTAATACCAATTTTGTGATTGTTAATAAATAGGTTAAACAACATGGCACTAAGACAGAACCCTGTGGCATGCCACTCACCACCCTAGACCAAGAGCCATTCATCAATACTCTTTATACTCGTTCCTGTAATCAGTTTTCTGTCCATGTATACACCATTTTGTCAATGGCATGTGGTATGCAATATGCAACAAAGACCAGCTATGCATCAAAATATTGGTTGACAGTTAAGTTCCCTTTTTTTAGTTTTTCATTACAAAAAAAACCTGCTTTTATACAGTTACATTTTCTATAGATGTATCTATAAATCTAAATATTTACAGATTTCTATAGATTTTGATTAAAAATGATTACTTTTCCTGTTGGGTCTAAATATTCTCCCCTGATGAGTCCAATATACGAGAGCCCAACACTTCCATGAAATCATGCTTCATTTCTACCCCAATGCTGCATTTTCTTCTAATGAAGAAGTAATACATCAGATCTTCAGCTCATGGAATGGTGCCCAGTTTTAATATAAGCTTGGCCACTATTATCTGTCCTTTCAGTTTATTATATTTAGCTTTCACTAATTTCATGCACGCTGATTTACTATTTACATGGAACTTGAGATTTGGTAAATAAATATTAACTTCATTAACAATGCATTTATATACCTGACAAACTCCCATTACTTGTTAAACTTATTTAATGGAGTTTATGAGGCATACAAAGTAGCTAGAATTTCAGCATTCATTTGTTACAAAATCATGATCTGCCATTTATTATTTTTAAATGAAAATCAGTAGCAGTCAGACAGAGCTACCAAGGAAACTGAAATATCAGTTATATTATCAGTAAATTAGGCAAACTGCTGTGCTTTAACATAGCTTTAATTCACTCTCAAATTTAAAAATAAATCTCAGCAAGATTAAAAAGACACATAAATCTGGCAAATTTTCATGCAAGCAAAATGTTAACTTATCTTAACTCAACTGTGGTGAATGTGTAGTATATTTATTTTCTCCCTAAAGATTAACTCCAGTCAGCCAAGAGCCAGTCAGCTGTACTGCAGTGGTTATGTGCTAACATTGGACATGCTAATAGAAGAAGAGATCAGAATAACAGAGAGATGAGCTAATTAACCTGACATTTCTCCTTTAACTTTTCAGTCGCAGGCTTGGGACCTGTATGTGTCACTTAAAGGCCAATTGAAGCTTCCACAATTAAGACTGTAAAGCAGTAAGGCTGTATATACAATAACAAACATGTTTTTCTTTTTTGTTTTTCCCCTGCTTGCAGCATTGGTTAAACTATGCTGTTCTATTAGGACGTTAGAGATATGGATCACTGCTGAACAGATAGCACAGCAGTCTAGGTCTCCAATCATCTAGCATAACACTTCTCCAATGCTCTAATCAACAGTGCTGCTCAGGGAGTGTGAGTGCTGCTGATTGGAGTGCTGGACAAGGGTCACTGAAGCAATGGAGACCTGGGCCTCTGCATTGTGCGTGGGAGCAATGGTGGAGCTGTCCTGGATGCTACCAGGACAGGGTATTTTAACCCTTGCATCAGTTTTTGTTACTGTATACACAGCCTAGATGCATTATAATCCTAAATGCAGAAGCTTCAAATGCAAGAGACAAATCAGGTCCCCTGCTCTATCAGACAGTACTGTGCTATATATGCCAGTGCTGTGTAAATCTCATTCTGAGTAAGCAAAAATGAAAATCCTTTGGCAGGTAAGACAGCTTCCTTATAATTATTTGAACTGTACTTTAAGATGGAGTTCAACTGTAATTTGCATAAAAGACATGAGAAAGGAATGGCTACATTTGTTATGTTGGTTACCAGCTTTTGCCCAAAAGTAGTTCATCTCAATGTCACTGGATTTTAATGGGCTATATTTCAGCTTTCTTTCAGAGTCCAACAATTTGCATTTCTGGGGTAGTCAGCATATACAACATAAGCTTAAAAATACAAATGTGTAAATTAACTTCTTTCTCTTGTAACTTTTATACAATTTAAAAATCTGGCTACTCAGTGTATATTTCTACATTGTTATAAAGTGTTTGTTACTCACAGTGTTTTCACATTAATGTCATTATTATACCTAGTGTTAGTTAACATTTCTTACCTTTTTGTATATTTTTATTCAGATAATCCCAAGCAAACAACACGGTCAACTGTTTATATACTGATTCTGGATGTCAATGACAATGCACCACAATTTGCAATGTTTTATGATACGTTTGTCTGCGAGAATGCAAGACCAGGACAGGTAACTAACATCTTTTTTTTTTTTCAAATGTACTTTAGAAAAGTGATCAAATAGCCAAATGTTCTTATAAGAGATTATTTTGCTGATCCACAATCATGATCTTCATCACCAGTTTTCAATGCATTTTTTACTTTTTAATTTTACCTTTCTTAACTTCCTAAAGGAAAATAGCCTGACACTCCAGATATATAGGCTGGATCTGGTTGGGAGCATGTGGAACAGCCTGTGTTTAACAGCCTCCAGCTGTACATCTTTTTTAATTTTCAAAACTTTCTGTGTTTAGGTATATTCCCTTTCCATCTTGTGAAAAATATTCAGCACATGACCACATTCAAGGCCATGCTGCATCTGACACCCTGGTGTCCTGTATGGGGCCATTCCCAGGAGGGACAGGTGCTGCGTTTGGTAGCCTGTTCTTCCCTATGGGAGGACCCGGCCCTACGCTGTCATACGCACACCCGAACTGCACATATGTGCGGGTTTGGGTGTCCAGACTCAGATGCAGATAGGATAGATTCTGTCTGTGTCTGAGCATAGACACCCGGACCCGCACGGATATGCAGTTCAGGTGTGCGTATGACAGCATACGGCCGCGTCCTCCCATAGGGAATAACAGACTGCTACACGCAATCACACACAGCACCTGCCCCTCCCGGGAATGGCCCGATATGGGCATTCATGCCACATAGACGTGTACTCCCTGAGTTAGTCCCATGTGAATGAGGCCTAATAGGCATCAGAGCACATATTTGGTGCCTGATGGTGTCTGCATCCTGACCTACCAGACTGCTATTGTGTATTTATACCTGTATGTCTCTGCTTGTACTCATCTTCTGTTTTTGACTAGTATTCAGCTCACTCTTGTATATATCTGTTGTTTTGCTGTCCTAGGTTACATCCTAAAGGTGAACTTAACGTGACACTACATTTGGGAATTAAACTTTTAAAATGCAATAACGTACCTTAACGATTACCAGTGATGCACAAATAAGCTACATTTTTGTTAATAGTTAAGTAACTTGAATGCATGTTAAAGGTTAAACTCCTGAGATTAGTGTCACTTTAAAGCAGACCCTCACTTAAAATGAAATCAAAGCATCATGTTAATCCTCCCCTTCTCTGTCACACACAGGTATTTTTGGGGGTGAGCAGAGAAAGTGCCATTTGTTCTTTATGCTAGGAGCCACTCCCTTATTCCTAGCCAAGGATGACATAGCCCTTGGCTTACCCACAATTGACTGATGAGAGAGACTGTCCTGACGCATCCTGGGATGTGTGATGTGTATCCCAGGAGGCTTCAGGACAGTCTCTCTCAGCAGTCAATTGTATTCACAGCAGCACTTCAGCAGGGGGCCAGCTTAGTGAAAAGGAAATGAGAGCTGCCTCCTGAATTCAAGACAGTGGAACGTGAAAAGAAAAAATCTGATAAGACTTGGGGTTCAAGGACAGTGCTGGATTCCATAGACTGCTATGCATGTGCTTTTAAAAAGACAGCAGCCAGAGTACAGTAATTGGTCTTGGACAATCCACTTGTATCTGTATTTACAACATCAAATGTGGTGTTTGTGGGTCATGGTGCATGATGATAGGATGCACATGTTAGGACCTCTCTATTGCCAATGCCATTGCCTATTGAGGATAGAACATTGGTTTCTTCCATAGGAGGCAAGAGGGTAGACTGGGTAGGCAGGGAAGAGGCTTGATAGTAACTGATTAGGTGAAAAATCAAAGAAATACTATGAAGTTAGTTTATGATTCTTGAAAAGGTGGGTTGTGCTTAAGAGTGGGATCTAAGCTCCCTTACTTCTCCAGCATTGACATATTTCTACCTGTATCCCACCTGCAAGGCTTTTCATAGCCTCCACATTACTCAGTAGGCCACTACTGCACCACACTACAAGAAAGTGAAATATTTCCTACATTGGGAAGAATATGACAGAATTATAGGCATATGTGACTTCATCAAAAGGGAATTATATCACCATATTTGGATACATTATGTGGAGATATGGCTGGCTTATGGGAAATGTTGTAAAATATGGCTGCATTATTAAGGAGGGTATAACTGCATTATTAGGAGATAGAGCTGCATTATGGGGAAGCAATGGTTGTATGAAAGAGAGGTATAGCTGCATTATGGGGAATATAGCTATATTATTGGGGTTATGGCTATGTTAAGGGGAAGTATGGCTGCACTGTGGCGCATGAGGAAAGATAGCAGCTGCACTGTGGCACATGATAAAATATAGCAGCTTTATAAAGAGATATTGATGCATTTATTGGAGTATTTTTTTATTAGGAATGGGGATGCCAATACTGATACAGCATAAGATACACACTATAAATTTAGATAAATGCATGTAATACTGTACTTGACCTGTTAGAACCTCTGAAAAATGTTCCTTGTATAACTGAATGCTCTGTGCATATATGCAACTTATTTGCCTTAACAAATGTACACACATTTACATTCTTCTGAAGGGTCTCCTGTCTTCACATCTTTCCCTTAAAACACATAAAGGGTAAAAGTCTGGGAAACCCTATTATTATGCTTCCTATTTAATAACTAAAGTAATTAAGAATAACAGCATGAGAAATGAATTGCAGGAATCTCCTATAATCCCATGTTCCATTTACTACAATGGAACTTTTCTGAGACTCAGAGCTTTTCCTCCCCAAACATTAAACCTTGATGTGGCATGTCAGCAAAGAAGAGTACCCACATGAAGGTAGAGCTTCATGTTTATTATTTCACTGGTATCTATTATAGGAGGAGTCTTTTTCACTAAATGTAAGCAAAATAACAAACAACATCTGGACCATATAGCTCAAGAATATTTTCTGGCTGTAAATTAGCTTAGAGGGTTATTCACAAAGCTGCCGAAGGCAGCCGTGTGAATAACCGACCCGTAGTGAGGTGTGCCGAACGCTGTTTGGCTATTTACTTCAGGCTTGTACAGCTGATTTCAGCCATACATCGGCTGAAATCAGCCGTCCATCGGCTTGCTTCGGCTGGCTTCGGGTCGGCCGAACATGCTCAGCATGTTCGGCTGACCCGAAGTGCCAAACAGCAGTGAGTGGATAGTTGTTCTGCTCGGTACCTCCGTGGTACTGAGCAGAATAGAAAAACAGTTTAAAAAAGTGTTAAAAAATAGAAAACGATTGGGCAGAGCTAGTAGTGGCAGCTAGCTCTGCCCAACTGTTTTCTATTGGCCGAGACCAGCTGTCATTACAATGAGAGCTCGGTGGAGCCGGCAGTGATATCAAAACCGGCTCCGCTAAGCTCTCATTGTAATGACCAGTGACGTGCGGTACCTCTTGCTTGGGGTGAGGTATTCCCAGCCCCGCCCCCACTGACCAAAGACCTGCCCCGCCTCCTGTTGGCCGAAGCTCCGCCCCATCAAACAAAGCCCCTCCCCAACCTGTCCCCAAGCTAGTGTAAAGGATGAGTTGCCTCCCCTGACCGCATGTCCCTGGTAATGACAGTGCAGCATCCCCTGGTTACCTTTTAACCAGGGAATGCTGAACTGTCATTACACACTGAGAACTTGACAAAACCACTTGCTGATTCCCCTGCTATGTTTTTTTCTATTATCTTGACAGCTGCTGCAGGCTGCCGTCAGAGAAAAGAAATAAAAACAACAACAAATAGCATAGGAATGAATAGCTAGGCTGCTATTGGCCATTTCAAATTGGAATAGCCATTAGTAGGCTGGCTATTGCACCTGCCTACTGCTGCTGTAAATCAGCAGAGGTGGACCTGAAGTTTTCCATCAGCCTAGCTATTCATTCCTATGCTATTTGTTGTTTTTCATTTCTTTACTCTGATGGCAACCTGTGGCAGCTGTCAAAATAATTAAAAAAAAAAAACATAGCAGGGGAATCAGCAGATAAGAGGGAGCTAATGCTTTCCCTGTTATCTGATGCTTTTTTTTCTTTGTATTCAGACAGCAGCTGCAATCAGCAGCTTTGTATTCAGACAGGGAGTCAGCCGATATCAGGGGGAGAAAGGCTAGGATTGCTCAGGGCATTTTTTAAATTTTTAAATGGGGGTCCCTCCTAACATTTATAACATTTGGGAGGAGGACCCCACGCTGTGTTTATTTATTTGTTTACATATTGAGGAGAGAACAGTCTGCTTTGGCAGACTGTTCTCCCCGCTTCGGCTGTGTGTTAAACTCAGTCGAGCCGAAGCATATGCCTTCAGCTCGACTGAGCCTCTCGGCCAACTTCGGGAGCTGTACAGGCTATAGTGAATAGCCCGTACAGCAGCCCTTCGGTTCTACTGAACCGAAGGGGTTCCGGGGGCCGAAGCTAGCTGAAGGGTCAGCCGAAGCTACGGCTAGATCCTTTGGCAGCTTTGTGAATAATCCTCTTTAATGTCAGTCCTAAAAACTGGACTAGTTTTTCTAAATCACATTTTTATGTAAGAAATCGCATAATATTAAAAGATTAAACATTATAGATATATAACATGTTAATGTCTCCATATATCTTGCAATAGCTGATATTTTAGGGCATATTTATCTACCTCAGCTCTCCTATCTGAACAATATCTGGATCTATTTTTACATTTCTGCTATAGGTCTATTTATTCAGCAATAACTTTTCATTATGATAACAAAGTAATACATTATTATTTTAGGACAAATAAATCTTTCTTTCTTTGATATAGTCTTGCAAAAATAATTTCATTTTTATGCAATCCATAGACAAAAATTGCAACAGAACTAAAAAATATATGTTTTTTCTTCCTTGATCAGTGATCATTGCTAGTTTAAAACAAATTTGTTCTATTTTATATGGCACTAAAATTGTGCTTCTGTTACAATACATTGCAATGTTATTTACAAATTAACTAAAAGGTTTTTTTAATTTTTAAAGCAATACTAAAACAATTAATAAACAAAGCAAATAAAATAAAAATGTTTAAAAATTAATGGTTAGAAAACAAATTCAGCATACAAAAATATTTAAAGGGAGAAATGGAAAAGGAGGTA